GTGTGCAAGGCATGATGATGGGATTTGTGCCTGCTTGCCGTTTGTGAGCAGCACAGCTGTGCGTGTTGTTCGTCTAATGTTATTTTATGTGGTTAGTATTTAAGTGGCGAGCACACTGTGCTTTCAGTGTGGCCACCAGAGGTTGATTCTGAGCCACGGTTAATACCCCACCCCCTCTTCACTAACCCACCAATAAGCATGAAGTAATCGTTCAACAACGCCCAATGACCGAAAAGGTATTCATCCAGTAGTGGATTTAGAAAGGGCTGAAACTATTTGTGGTTTTCATCTGCCTGCGTTGCACTGTGGCAGAGTGCCCTAATAACAAGCCGTGGGTTGCCGTTTAAATTCCCGGTGAGTGGTTGGTCCATGCACATTATCTCCCTTGGATGATAATACAGATAATAAAATAACGTGGTTGAACCAATGGAGACCATGGTTTGCACCATGGGAATGTGGAATGACCACAACTGGAGCTGGGATATGAGTGGAGAAGGGCACTACCCTCCGTGTCTGAGAATGAATAAGTTTTGCCTCGACTTCGTTGTTCCTGCAACTTTTTGCCGAAATTGTAAACGACAGGAGTAATGCGGTCCAGTGGTCAGCAATGCCTGTCCACAGCTACAAGGTTTGCCGCGTCAAATCCACCTGTGTATGCAGCTAACCCTTCGAGGACTAGTCGTTGACACTTGCCGCTCGCTATCACCGCAATTAGTTCGCCTGCTAAGCCCGTGAAGTTTTCAACCAGGCGTAGCAAATCGACTGCGTATCGTGCGCGTGTATTACCCGCCGCGCGGGCTACTGTAAGTGCAGAAACACGACGGTACCACCGCCCCCCCCCCCCCCAGCGACAGGAAATTCCACCGCGCTTGGTATTAGACCCAGCAATGCAAAAGCACTTCCAGCCGGCCCACCGTCTAGGGAATACGAACGGCATTTCGCGCAACTGTGCATCTTCAACGGCCCGTTCCGCGCCTCTCTTCCCAACACGAAAAAGAAAGGCAAAAGAGATCCCGCCCACGCCCTTCCATAGTCTCTAACAGGCTGTTGGGGCAAGTACCATCAGTGAGCACTGTTAAGGCTTCATGAAGTGCTCCTAGCCTGGCACAAGCACCGTGGTGACGTCACTTAATAGTGAACAGCTGCTGTTGTACAATATAGTCGAGAATACAGCACAGAAGTAACTATCGTCCAATCCAACAAAAGTAACATGTACAATTGCATATCTCAGCGTGCACTGTTGCATTGTTATCAGTACACAAAAGCAAAGATCCCCCGTATAGGCTTTCGCAGACTATGAAAGTGCTGTTAGCATGCACCCATGCAGGCCAACATGGCACATGAGGGGGGCGGGTGGTCAACACCACGCTCGGTCACCTTTGTCTCCCCAGTGCTGATGTTTACAGAGTGCACAAGGGTACTTATCTAAGGCAGTCAAGCTCGGGGAGGCCCAGGACTGCTTCGGATTATTCACCACTGATCTCTGGTGGCCATGTTCGTAGCGCAACGCGCAAACCACTGCACGACCCTTTCACAACGGCACACACACGAAATGCTCTCCATGGGCACGTGTGTGTGCCCGACATTCAATCTCCCTCTTTAATCTGGGTAAACTTTAGCCACGTGACGCCTGCAGTTTTATTTCGTTTTCGCTGGTGGTGGGGGGTGGGTCGGTTTTTCAGGAATTCACAGCCTCCATGAGAGATGGCTGACGGCAAATACACCCATGCCCCACGACTCCCAAGCCGTGTTGGGTTTTTCTCACGACCAATTAAAGGTTCGGTGGTCGTACGGCACTGTGGTCACAGGGTGCTCGACTCGATACGTAAATCCTCACGAGTTCAACTAATGTCGGTGGCGAAAGGCGCTTTAGAAATCGAAAAAAGAACAGAACTCAGGCCCCCATAATCCCTTTGGGGATAACAAAACCAGAGGGGTTTTTGGGCTAAATCGCGTAAATATAAATTGTGCCGTTAAACCCACCACCACCCGTAAGGTTTGTCACGTAAAAACATGCCAATTCGTGACTAGTGCATTGGAGAGTAAAACCCACAACATTTACAATTCCAGTTAACGACTTTTCACCGGTAATTTCAACCTGCCTCATCAGGCGACAGCCAGAGCTGTGGACAAATCGTCCTGTTTAACAAAAGCCCTGCCTCCTGCAGGAAGTCAACAGGAGTTATCCAATGGTGAAATGGACCAAGCACTCGTCCTCGGCCACGAACAGCAACATGTACCACCCTATATTACTGCGTGTCTGAGCGGGGAGAGAATTACAAGACGCATAACACTTAAGTATTGGCCACTAAATCTTCATGAAGCTAATGGGGACACACAGGCACTTTGCTTCTTGAAGCCTTCTTGTTGCGAGCAATAAGAGGGCTTGCGGTTCAACCCCAAGGAATCACTGGGGTCGTTTTATGCATCGAATAAGAATATTTATTTAGACTGGAGGCTTGTCGATGAGCTATGAAACTCCTGTTCACAGATGCCCAGTAGGAGCGGGTCATCAAGATCGAGGTGCATGATAGCACCGGTGAAATGCATCAACAGTGTTTGATGGGGTCATATCAAATGAGTTGTCTTTGTACATTTAGATCTTTCGATTTAAAGCTTTCGTGACTGCAGGGATTCATCTTCTTGGTTCTTTCGGTAAAGTCAGGTCTTCAAAAGACGGCTGCTTGCGTTGTGGCCGAAACGTCGTGAGAATTATTTTATTATGTTTTATTTTTATTATGTTATTACTTCCCTTCTACGTGACTTACCGAAAGAACCAAGAAGAAAACATTTAGATGTTGTTACCGAAATGTGCATTGTATCTAGAATGTTGATCTTCGCTCGTCAGCAAGAGTTATTTCGACAATGTGTTGTCTGTAATGCTTGAATGAGGCTGCATGGCCCGCTTCACTTTACATAGACTGCTTTTACAGTAACTAGCCAGACAGGATAAACACGTCACTTAAATAAAATCAACATCCTCCAGCGGGACGCACACATTTCCCGATGATGTCACCTTTCGAGAAATGTAATTGGCATGAAATCCTGTTTCCTGGATCCAAGCAAAAAGGGCTGGGTTTCTTAATAAGTGGTCCCATGGTCGCTGGGATTAGCAGCCAGATTCAATCATTGAGGTTTTTCAAGAGGACCAAGGACCTCCCCCTCCCTCCAATCCACGTAAGTTTAAGTAAATACAACCCTAAGTCTAAACACACGCGTCTACCCATCAGCAGGGTGGCACTGTAGCAGGAGCACTTAGCAACAAACTGGCAGGTTTAAATACTGGTCAGAAGGTGGACTCGGGCCATCATCCATTACGGGGTCAACAAATTAGTAGTAAAAACAATAACTTAAACTTGTAACACACGCAGCAGTATTCGCTCACTCTTGTGGAGAGAGGACTTTTGATCCACAAGCAACCACAAGCAAGCAGTGTTTTAAAACTGCTTTTAGTGTTTAGTTTGTTGTCCTTCCCCCGCACCTCCGATTGGCACGGTTGGCTATCTACGGTGCGAAAGAAGTTCCACACACATACAGAGGAACTCAACAGCGGCTGTCCTATGGAGATACTCATAACCTGTCCTCAAGAATGTGGAATTTCCACCACTTGTTAAGGCTGCCTACACAGAGATGAGCACCCGCCCCCCACACTCGTTGGGAACAGGGATAAGTTTTGACTTTTGTGTTTGAACCCAACAGTCAAGAGCTACTCCACCACACTTTCCTCAAACGCCAGTTTGCAAATCCTCAATAAAGTACTCGTGAAAATCCCTCCGATTCTTCCGCCAAAAGTTCAAATGCAGAGGCAGCCAGATGGCATGGGAAGGGAAGAGGGGCACGGTGCACACACCCACCAGCCTTCACGCGAGTCGGTGCCGGCAAGCCGCAGTCAGGAATCGAACCGAGGCTTCTAGATTCGTAGAGCAATGGGTTAACCACTGTACCCACTACTATTATACCGCACCTTCGATTATAGCAGTTGGCTACGTACGGTGCGAAATAAGTTCAACATACATACATAGTAATATAATTTCGATTTAAAGCTTTCGTGACTTCAGGGATTCATCTTCTTGGTTCTTTCGGTAAAGTCACGTAGAAGGGAAGTAATAAAATAAAAATAAAACATAATAAAATAATTCTCACGACGTTTCGGCCACAACGCAAGCAGCCGTCCTCAGGTGAAACCAGGTCTGTCAAGGCTTGCGTTGTGGCAAAACATGTAAACCAACATTCTCTGATCTATAAAAATAAAAGGGAAATTTGTGAATATGTGTGTCTGTTCGAAATGTTTAGTATACGTCCCAACATGCAAAATTCTTGAAATTTGGCATGTGGGTAGCTTCCAGACTGTTCACCAATCAAAAAGTCTAAAAATAGACTTTTGTATTTTGGGGGAGCACAATAATGTATATAATATTTTGCACGTCACATCTGTGATGTCACCCACATGCGGCAGTGTTACGCAGTGTGCCTGCTGACGTCACGCACCCCTCCCCCCCAACCCTCCGCGTAGGCCGTGTACGAATCCAAGACAAGAATCCAAGTCTTGGGCGAAGCCGGGTCGTGAAGCGAGTTATAATATATTACATATGCATCGCCTTTGAAACCGACTGGACTACAGAGACAGCCTTCTTTTTGGCCTTTTCTCTGTACCAGTGTGAGACCAGAGAATGCCAAAAGGCCAATGGTACAAAGGCAAAGCAAGTATCAAAGCATGAATAGCTCAGGATGAGCAGTTATATCAATGGGACAATTTATTTATCCACAATGTCATTACCCGAGCCGGTAATCAACGACTTTAGTTCGTCGCGCCGTTCGTTAACCACTACACACGCTACCACAACAACCAACCGCACTCACGCACGCGTACGTCCATGTGCACGTACGTGCGAGTGAGCGTCCACACACGTGGACGCTCGCACGCACGTACGTGAACACGCACATACGTGAACACGCACATGCGTGGACGCACGCACACACATGCTTTAACACACACGTACCCATGGCCGGAAGGGAAGATGAAGTAGAGGCAGCAGTGCACGCGGCTGTCAGGCATGAGTCTCCGGTTGACCCGAGCCTCCGCATTGAGGTAGTCCTCACATTTGCTGTCGATGTAGTCGATGATGGACTGCCAGCTGCTCACACACACACAGGTAGACAAAGATACCCCTATTGTCTTACTGACTGATGGGGCCATTAGCGAGCACCTAATAAGGCAACCACGGCGCACACAAGCAGATGGGTGTGACCGGCACGATGCCCGGGCAGGCATGCTGCTACTGTCCGTTTTGTGTCTGCCTGTCATCACTGACCAATCGGAATGCTCCCAGGTGTCAATCAGTCACTGCTGAAGGTCAAACGACCTACGCCGAACACAAGCCCCCCCCCACCTCCGCCTCATGAGCGTCTGGTGATTGAGTGGTGAGTGTCAGGTGAGTGGTTGGTGGGTGTAAGACCAAGACATGCAGTGATGCGGCAGAGCTCATCACCAACATTACTGTGCTACACAAACAAGTCTGCACCACATGCACGTCGGAGGTTCAAGCAAACCTTTGGGACTGTGTATTCGCACCTCCAATTAGCATGGATGGCTACGTACTGTGAGAAAGACTTTCAGCACACATACATACTTTCAATGATAAACTTTGGGACTAGTCTCGTAAAGCAAGATTGACGAACGAAAGGGGCGAGACAAAAGTGCACGTTCAATATGGCTGTAGCCACGTGTCTCGCTCCCACTGTGATGACACAGCTGGGTGGATTAGCGGTCACCACGCTCATCCATCTGTCTAGTTTATGTACAGGGTCGACACAGTTCGATTCCCGCTACAGCTGTTCGGTAACTTGAGCGTGGGGATGCTATCAGCAACTGCTCCCTGCTGCAACTCCGTGCACTAAAGAGAACTCTGTGACAACATTCACAAGAGTGCACAGAGAGTGGCAACGCTCAAGCCTAATATCTCGAAACACCCGAAACGGATAACTGGTTGAGAGCTCCTGTTACCCAGCTGCTCATTGGCAAAAAAAGGACTTAACACGATTAAATTACGCTAATTATGTAAAGTCATCCATAATACAAGTTTATGCTTGAGGCAAGGCTTCGGTGGTACGGCCATGTGATGCGAAGTGAAGAGTCATCAGTGGCCAAGACTGCCGTGCGTATTGAGTCAGAGGGCCGCCGTCCACGCGGACGTCCGAAGAAGCGATGGATGGACCGAATAAAGGAAGACATGAAGACGGTCAACGCATCCCCTGAAGATGCCCTGGACCGAGCCAAATGGAGAAGACAATGCCGAAAAGCGGACCCTGCGCCACAGCGGGAACAACGCTAGGAAGAAGAAGATCCATAATACAAGTTTATTGGATTAGATCGCGTAAATATGTGTCGTTAAACCTGCCACCACCCGACACAGCCAATTAGTAAGGTTTGTCACGTAAACAGAACGTGGCCAATTCGTTACTAGGACAGCACACCGGTTAGAGAGCCAAGCCACAACATTTACCATCTGAGTACGACGTTTCGCCAGTAATTACAACCAGCTTCAATTACTGGCAAAACGTCGTACTCAGATTGTTGTGGCTTTGCTCTCCAACACACCGGTGTGCTGTACCAGTAACGAATTGGCACGTTCTGTTTATGTGACAAACCTTACTAATTGACTGTCGGGTGGTGGCGGGTTTCACAACACATCTATATATTTATGCGATCTAACCCAAAAAATCTGGATTATGGATGATATTGGTAGCGAAAGCTTGCTACGTGTTAAACTATGTAAAGGCATTTTCTGAAACGATAATTCTAGATTGCTTGGCAGGTCGCAGCCAGGATCGCAGAGCGATTCATAAAATACGGAATTGCATTGATAAAGATTCGCTGGTTAGTAGTCTCCCTCTCCCCCTCCGAATGCAGGAACACCGTTGGACGCAGTGTCAAAGTACAGGTAGTCCGAGTTACGATGGTCCGACTTACGATATTTCGATCTTACGATGGCGATACGACCAAATTGTAAAATATTAAAAATTTCGCCCGGCAGGCAAACGCAGCAGCGTACGAGGTACGATACTGTACGTTGCTTTTTATAGCAGATGGGATTGTTTCCTAAAAAAAAACTTTCTATTAAATTGCAGTTCATATAGGTAGGCTAAGAATTTACCTTGTTTTTTTACTTTACATTTGACTTTGCAATACAGTATTGTAATTAATACATACAGTATATAGTTTATACAGTACGGTACTGTAAATTGCTCTGTTTTGCTAAATTATCACCATTCTTTAAGACTCCTGGGTAGGCTAGGCCATCTTCGACTTACGATATTTTTGACTTACGATGGGGTCGTCGTAACGCATCTGCATCGTAAGTAGAGGACTACCTGTACTAATGAGGTGTTTGTCTTTCGCTGGAACTGGGCGATACTCGTGGCACAGGTGGCAAAACCGCGAGCAAGCGGCCCCACAATGTGCCATTGTCGAATGCTACGATTACAGGCAGTTTGGAAAAGTGAAAATACGAATATATTACAAAAGCATTCTCAACAATCGGAACCAAGATGTTGGCAAACACCTGGGGACTGTCTGGAATCTCGACAGGACGTGCGTCACCAATGCCGTGGAGGTGTAGGGGAATGTATGTATGTTGAACTCATGTGACGGAATCTTCACTCTCAAGCGTGTTTGTGTGTGGAATTTTACTGGTCTAGCTCAAGCTACTGTCCGATTAGAATTCTTAATGAGCAAATGATACTTTTATGGACACCCTGTATCGTATGATAATAAAACTGATAACATTGACCCATTGTAGGTCCTAAATTAGTCAACACTTCTTGATTCTAGATTTGAAGCTGAAGACGGAAGCTTGTGTTGCCTCCGAAACGTCGTGATTTTTTTTTTCTATTATTTATTCTATTATTTGTATTATAAATTTTTATTATTTATTTTTGTACCTACGTGACTTTACCGAAAAAACCTAAGAGTATGAACACTTCTTGAGCCCATCCTGCATAGCGTGATTTTCGTTCCAGCATTCTACGTGCCGATGGAAACCCGAGTACCTCCCACGAAACACTCTGTACTTATGCAAGCATAACACAAACTGTACGAAGTCGGTATGCAACCTACTTACCCTACCGCATCGTAAAGGCCAAGCAGCTGGGTGTCTGCCGCACGTGATCTCCCGAGTGCGATCCGCCTCCCAAGCGCTGGGTTGTAGGAGTGCAAAACCACTGCGACCGCGCTGTTGTTTTAGTGCGAGGGTGTGCGCATGTGTGTTTGCATGCACATGTGCGTGCGCGCGTGCGTGTGTATGTATGGAGAGCAGTCGTGTAGCGGTCAGCACTACGAACCCGGCGACCCGAATTCGATTCTCGCCCACGGCCAACATCGGTGACAAATATCTGGATTGCCTTCAGTACTTCCTCAACAGGCAAGGTCAATGAGTCCGATGCCTTCTATGACCTCCTGTCACAGGTGCTGGCTAAATTGTCCTCTTGTTGGGTGACTTTAATGCCCGAGTTGGTCATGATGCTATCACCTGGTCTGGAGTAATTGGAAGGCATGGGCCAGATCAGCTCAATAACAACGGACGGAGGCTGCTCGATGTTTGTGTAGCCCATGGGCTTGTAATTACTAACACGCAGTCCCGACATCGGCGCATCCACACAACATCATGGATATATGCCGGGTCCAAGCAAGAACATTTGCTGGACTACATAGTGACGGAACAGCGGATGCGGGCCCAGGTCCTTAACACCAGGACCTACCGTGGAGCTGGATCTGCCCACTGACCATCGACTTGTCATCTGTAAGATGCACCTGCCATTCTTCCACTCCGATGGTAGGTGTACACCCAGGACCCCATTCAAACCCATTGTGGCATGGTCTCAGCTAGCTGATGAAAAGTTGCAAGGATAGAATTTCATCAACGCTTGCGGCTGGGGTTGGCATAGTCCCCCACTCCACCTGATGTTGAGGCCCACTCTCATCGTCAACAGCATCCTATGTCAGAGAATGAGGAGGCTTACCGCAGCCTTCGCTCGGAGATTTGGAGAGCCGTGGGGCACTGCAAGGATGGTTGGTGGTCACGGGTCGCTGAGGAGATGGAGTCTGCCTCAATGGCCCGCAATCACAAATCGCTATTTAATTCCATAAAAAAGTAACCTGCAGCGCCACACCTATTACCATCATTAGGGGAAATAACAGTGATCCAATCTCCGACCCCCAGGAACAGGTTTGCAGATTTTTTGAGCATTTCTGCGAGGTCCTGGGGGAGGGGAAATCCCTCAGCCTGGAAAACATCGTGGGACAAAGTGGGGATGACCCTGCTGAGGCTGCGGTGCCTCAAATACTGGAAGAAGTCACCCTGTGCGAGTGGCTGGCTGAGGTGCCATCTGTTAAGGAAGTACTGAAGGCGATCCAGAGCCTCAGACCAGAAAAGGCATTGGGCAGAGATGATCTCCCAAGTGAAATGCTGAGGGAGAGAGGCATTTGTGCACAGACTACCCTACATGACATCATAACAACAGTCTGGACCACTGGACGGGTTCCGCAGGATTGGAAGGATGCCCTGGTGGTCACTCTCTTTAAGAAGGGGGACTGCACAGACTGTAACAACTACAGGGGCATCTCACTCCTCAGTGTGCCGGGAAAGGTCCTGGCAAGGATTATTCAACATCGCCTTGCTAGGCACGCTGAGGAGAGGCTTGCGGATCCCCAATGCGGTTTCAGGAAAGGGCGGGTCCTGCACAGATGCCATATTTTCTGTCCGTCTGCTACAGCAGAGATGTAGGGAATGCCAACAAAACCTACATCTCTGCTTTATTGACCTGGTCAAGGCCTATGATACCATCAGTAGGCCTGGGCTCTGAGTTGTTCTTCGTGCTTTCGGAGTCCCTGACCCACTGTTCACGATCATTAAAGACCTTCATGATGGTGAGCGGGCCCGGGTAAAACTACGTGGCCGGGAGTCAGAGCCATTCCCTGTACACCTTGGGGTGTGACAGGGATGTCCTCTGGCTCCCACATTATTTAACATCTATTTCGACCACGTAGGTCAAAGGATGGCTCCCTATTGCTCAACCATGTTATGTATGCCGATTATCTGGTAATTGCTGCTCACTCAGAGGAGGAGTTGGAGGCGCTGCTGCTGAACCTGGAGCTTGCCACTAAGAGGTGGGGACTTACCATCAGCCCCACCAAAACTAAGCACCTGGGGTATGTTGTACCATCGGATACTCCACACCCACAACTCCCAATTAGTGATAGGGCAGTTGTGGAGAGAGTGGAGAGTTTCCCATACCTGGACCGGCTCCGGTTTGACAGCAGAGGCCTCACTCCGAATCAGTCGAGCAGCATTATCTTTTCATCGGTTGCGTAACGCTGTGTGGAAGCTACCGGGTCTGTTGCTCCGCACGAAGCTTCAGGTCTTCTCAGCCACGGTCATTCTCTCCCTTCTCTACGCTTGCGAAACGTGGACCCCCCTAATGGAACACTTTCGCCGGTTAGAAACATTTAGGCTGGCCTGCCTATGATCCATCCTGGGTTTAACCAGGCTGAATTGTGTGAGGAGCTCACAAATCCTTAAAAGATCTGGGCAAAGTCCCATCGGTGAGCACCTCCGGCAGGGAAGGCTGCGTTGGCTGGGTCATGTAGCCCGCATGCCCAGCCACCGCATGCCTAAACAGCTTTTGTTCGGCCGGATCGAGAGGGCTAAACGGGCACGGCATGGGCTAGAGAAGCGATGGAGTTATGTAATACAGGATGATGTGGAGCTGAGTGGACTTGCCGATGACTGGTACCAGCGGTGTCAAGATCGGCCTCTGTGGAGGAGGCTCGTGAAGGACGCTACTGGGCAGTTGGAGGCAGTCGCCCTCCAGCAACAACGGAGGGCGGAGGAGCGATGCTCAGCACAACGAGCGGAGTGCCGGGTGGCTAAAACACAGCAAGTTGGCACAGTAGGGGGCACAGGTGGTGCATCAGCTAGTCATCTTAGTCAGTCGACCCGTGGCACCTGGGTCTGCCCCGTGACCTCCTGCCAGAGGGCGTCCGACACATCACGTGGCCTCAACGTGCACATAGCCTGGCACAAGCGTCATGGTGACGTCACCGCCACTTAGTGGCGAATGGCGATTGTAATTGCATGTGCGTGTGCACGTGCATGCGTATGGAGAGTGGTAGTGTAGCGGTCAGCACTACAAACCCGGCGACCCGAATTCGATTCTCGCCCCACGGTCAACATCGGTGACAAATATCTTAACCGGTCCTGGGCATCCCCTGGGCATCCCTTAAGTACTCGGGAGGCAAAGGCAGTCCGGCGTGGTGCTGGCTACCAACCCCTTCATGTGCCGTGCCGGCCTTCATAGGTGCTACTCGCTAACAGCACTTGCCCCAACAGTCTGTTCCAGGATACACGGGGGATCTTTTTTCTTGCGTGTGGCCGTGTGTGTGCACCGATTATGAATGCAAGCAAACTGAGAAACAAACACAAGCCCCACTACCTACTAATTGGCATTCCATGAGGACCAATTGCCATACATCAGGGTAAGCATGCTGAACCCACATCAGTAAAATACCGAGAGGGAATTGAATCATGCGTCTGTGTGCAGACAGGCGAGGTTGTGCGAGCAAGCAAGTTAAAGGAAAGGTCCGCCAACCTCATGAATATCATTCAGCGCAGCGCTGAGAATTTAAAAGATCAGTTTTACTGTCACGTAATGAACATAACTCTCAGTAGCAGGGCAGGTATAAAAGTGCTGTCCCCTACTGTTGGAACATAGGTCACTTGAAGGGATCTCAATGGTAGCTCTGTGGTATCTGCTTCCATGGGCCGTTGTCTGACACGATGGTTTGCATTGTTCTAAAAGAGTTCCAAATATACGTACATGTACGTATGAACTTCTTTCGGAACGTACGTTTCCAGCCGTACTAATCAGAGGTATGGGAAATGGACCCCTCATCTTATGGCGTGGCAGCAATATCAATAAGATGAAGCTTGAGGAAAAAGGTTTTAAAAATAAATGAGCGGTCCACGCGGTCATTCTGTCCCTCTCTTCCCAGAAACCATTGGTGCATTGTATCAGGCTTGTGGGTTTACCACAATACATTATTTTTTAAAGTAATGAGCGTGGCTTCGCATTGCACAAGCCGCACAACTACCGTGTTTTGTCCGTGGCTCTGTGCGTTAACGGTACCAGCTGCTGTTGTCCACCGCGTCGCCAAAGCCTGGCGTGTCCACTATGGTGAGCGTGAGCTGCACGCCGCCCTCCTTGAGCACCACCTTGGACTGCTCCACCTGCAAGAGACGCGCAGAGATTTGGCCTCACGGAACGTCGCGGCAAGGGGCTGCAAGTGAAACGCACGACGAGGCAGCTCTTACAAACGCAACGCATACCCGGCCACCTTTCCATCCCGATTGTCTCTGTCAAGGGCACCAAAGACAAAAATCCCCCGTATCGCCTATAACAGACTGTTAGGGTAAGTGCTGTCAGCGATCATCTATGAAGGCGGCACTGTGGCACATGAGGGGGCGGTTGGCCAGCACCACGCCGGGCCGTTTTTGTTTCCCAACTGGCCATATTTACACACTGCACCAGGTACCCATTTGAGGCTCAGTCGACCTAGGGGAGGCCCAGGACCGGTTCAAATAATTATCACTGGTGTTGGCCGTGAGCGGGAATCGAACCTGGGTCGCCGGGTTCGTAGCGTGGCACGCTAACCACTTCGCCGCTGCTCCCCATTGGCTCCAAAACCTTTCTCGACCTGTGCGAACCACCGTCAACCCTCAAAATCTATGTTGTGGAACCACCATGCGGTAACAAATGTTGGCCTTTTGTGAAAAACATCGTATCCTCAATAGTTCTGCAGCCCACATCCCACGGCCTTGCGGCCCACCAACGATCGTCTGTGGACCACAAGGTGGAGAATTACAGGTATACGACGTTCATGCCCGCATTGCAATCGGTACTCATTTTAGGCTGAACAGATCTAAGAGAAAGCCCAACGCGGGTTTGAATACTGACCGCCACCATCGGTTTGCTTAATGACCAGAAATGTTCAATTCTCTAACGATGGATATTTTCTCCTTATCCTTTTTTCATATTTAAATACCAATTGTGCTCGAGTTCTGCTTTGGCAGTTACTGTCATTTCACGCCGTCACCACGGCAAGTGTGCGCCTCCCCTCCGAAATGACGTCATTACCCAAGTAGGCGTCAGCCTCAATAGTGCTTGGATGAGGGACCACCATGCACGACAGGTTGCCATAGGACTATATTGTGGACAGCAGAGGCAGTACAAACCACTTCTATGCCCCCACGTCTATGCCCCTCCTCTTCGCCAAATCTGCACTGAACGGAGTGGTGAACAGAGGTCGCAAACGGGTTTTGATTCCTTACCCGTACCCGTACCTGGCCGCACCAGGGTCACAAACGGGTACCCGTACCCTACCCGATACCCGGCCGGGTACGGGTAGCTGGGTATCGGGTAGGGTACGGGTATCGAGTACCCGATTGCGACCTCTGGGATGACGCCATGTTGCAGGCGCGGGTGGGTTGATTCTAGGAACTTGAATTGTGAGAAGAGACAAGACGTTGGAAAATGAGTGACAAACGGTTACTCACCAGTGACTCACGGCCTACCCTTACCCGTACCCGGCCGCACCAGGGTCGCAAACGGGTACCGTACCCGGCCGGGTATGATTATCGGGTACCCGATTGCGGCCTCTGATGGTGAAGTATGGTCTAACGACCCCCATGTTGTTAGACCGTTGGGGAGGCGCTCATCCAGCAGTGGATTGACAGAAGGGCCGTGCGTGTGTTGTGTTGCACGAGGACTGGATGCGGTAACCACGGGCCGCAGTCACCACCACGGCACCCGTGCGGAAAGAGCACCACATGACGTGCGGTGAAATCAACAACAATGTCGCGTCTATCCTAGGGTTTTAAGGCTTTTCTTGCAGCCTATAGGAGCTGTTTGGCACTATGGGACCGTGGTGGTTGATGAGCTGGGGTTAAACACTTGGGGCCTCAGGCATAGCAAAGCTATGTTTGGTTAAAGCCCCTTTACGGTTGACCCAATTCGATGTGACATTTTTAAAAGAGGAAAAATTGTTCTGAAACTGGTCACACTGCTACAAATAGGACTATGTACGAGTCTGCCACGATTAACACTAACGACACATTTGCGGTTGTACTGAGTTGATAATACAGTACTGCACCGTACAGGGAAGCGTAATAAAGCAGCGTTAAACCCGCAGCAACATAATTACTCATTCTGTGACTAAATCACCCGGAATGTGCTCAATCTCATCAGACCTCAGAGGCTAAGAAGAGTTTGAGCCTGGATAGTGCTGGGATGGGCAAGCACCCGGCTCAACACTACGTGGTGAGCAGTCGCGGGCAGTGTGCAGGAAATCCATTGTTGTACTGGATGTCTATGCTCCTCCCCATCCTTCACCAACCCTCACTGACCAGCGTGGTAAAGTTTAGTCATACAACCCCCCACAACCAACACCATGTGGCGATGTCCCCATCCAGCAGTGGATCGACAAGAGGACGATACACGTACAGTTGCTCATCTGACCGAGTGGCCTTGTGGCAAAAGCGCTCTGTGCACGGCGAGTGCGGAGCTCGTTCACTCGCACATCGTCCCTCAAAAAGTTTATAAACTAAGTACCGCCTTGCGAAAAGCCAACATTTTTTTTATGGGGGAGAATGGCCCCGTCATAGAAATGTAGAATCTCCATCTGGCCGAGGGCTGCCAATGTATGTATGGACAGTAGATCATCTATTATCCGCCAGATTTTTTAAAATTCCGGATAATAACTAATAATAATTTAAAATTGCTTATTTTTGCACATGCTTGTATTAAATGTTGTAGTTATGCTTTATTAGTGTTTTAAATTAGTTTACTCTATAAATTGGCATGAACATACAAAGACAAAAATAAATATCCTATTTTTAAAAGTTACTGTATTTACTGTACCGTACTTACCCACTCCGATCACCAAGACTCTGCATGGGTCGATATATAAAAGTACAGTGTTTTTTTGTTTAAGTTGCATGCAGTGTATAATGTAGTGTATTTTATATACTTTTTTGTCACGGGAACATGCTGCCGATCGCCAGACTGGTTTCAACCTTCAGGGTGGTGGAAGCCGGATAACCGCGCGCTTGATAATCGATGATCAAATGTATGATGAACTTCTTTCGCACCATACGTAGCCAACCGTGCGAAATCGGAGGTGCAGGAATTGACCCAAGTGCCCCCCCCCCAACCCCATTGCTCATCGAGCCGAGGCAGACACTGACGTAACTACTGCTATGGTTTTTTTTGTGGTTGTGACATTTACATTAAATTATGCCTGAGGCTCTATTGTGTGAGGGGCGTGTTGTTTTGGCATCACAACATATTTCCTTCCAGAACGCACGGGTTTAAGAATGGTTTCTCTCAGTCTCGTATCTGTCAAAATGCCGGTGTCCTGCTTAGGGATGTTTTGACCGCGTACGCTGCACAAATGTTGCCCTTTTGTTCTTAGGACACACCTTCAGGTATTAACACGGATATGTCGAGGTCTTTGTAAATCCATGGCTAGATGAAGGCCTTCCCGAGCCCTTGGTCAATCTGGCCGTTTCGCATTCTTTTCACAAAGCTGATAAATGCCACTGATGTTGGCCTTGACCGCGGTGGCGAGATGTTAACTCCCTCGCCTGGTATGCAGAAGGTCCCGAGTTCGATCTCAACCCTGACGCCTGTATATTTGGAGTTTGCATGTTTCTCTCCCTGTGGCCGCGTACATTTTTCTCCGGGTCCTCTGGTTTTTCCCCCGCCACATTTAGAATCAACGTGCATTTCCAGTAGAATATTTGACAAATTTCCACCCGGTAAACCACTTCGTGAGCACCATTTGTGGGCAAGTCGCTTCTGAAAAAAATATAGAAGCTAAGGGTGATGAAAAAATGCACTGAGCCCCTAAATTTAAAACAGCAGTCAACAAGCAGTCACCCCATTCGGAATGACCGCCACAGGCTCCACGCCGCCATTGGAGGGCGAGCATCAACCCGATTCTCGTTTGAGCAGGCGACTCTTGATTGACACGTGTGTACAGGGGATTCTGTCTAGCATGGCAATAAGCCTGGCCCATGGGGGGAGGGTAAGGACGATTCTATGGCCAGTAGACATCCACGAAAGTGGCAAAGTTTACTAACAAACTTGCAAGGATGCCCGCCTACTAAACCACAATGCAGAAGTGATGATGATTATTGATAGGAGTGCCATATCCCAAAGTGGTTCTGTTGCTGATCCATAAAACATGTCTGCGCTTTACAGACTTCACCTTGTGCACTTTACGATACGGCTTCTGGGGATTTCTACAGCGACAAGCCACGCTCGGCGGTGGGGACGCATTCCATCGCGATGAGAGAAAACAGCGCAGAGTGCTAACGGTCTGGGAAAATGCTTCCTCGGGCTTCGTGGGAAAATTGAAAAATAATCAAGCTGCACAATGTGGAGCTGTAGAAGCAGTCGCCGTCGATTTGGAGCTATTTTAAAACGGGAATAGCGTAAACACGGGCTCACGCACACACTCACACGACAGCATCAGAGCGTGCGCGCATGACAACTGGCAACAAGGTTCCCATGAACTTGATTCGCCAACCCATGTTGAGGACTCTAACGGACCCGACTGTCTCGTCTCATCGGCACCGAGTTCCACCGCCACCGCTGCGGCTCCTGACCACTTCTCTCCGTCTGCTTCTTCTGCTGTCACTTTGTAATTTCCTCCTGTCGTCAATTTTTCTTGATCAAATCAAGAACGTGCTAACTCTTTATCGATTACAACTTTGATAGTGCTGATTGTTGCTGGCCGCTTGGTGTTTTCGGCCTCTGGGCCCTGTGCTCGGCAACTGTTTTGAAACGTCATGAGACCTCCTTTGCCAGTATTAAATTATGATAATAAGGTTTTCCCCTTTCTGGCAATAAAACAGTTGTTTAAGATGTTAAAACACCAAACTGAAACCTTTGCAAGAATGTCTGCATTAGCCACGTAAACTTGTGGTGAATATGCAAACAAAAAAACATGCTCTGACAGTATGTGCATTTTCTTGTTTCTTTCGGTAAAGTCACGTAGAAGGGAAGTAATAAAATAATAAAAATAAAACATAATAAACAATTCTCACGACGTTTCGGCTACAACGCAAGCAGCCGTCTTCCTTCACCTGAAGACGGCTGCTTGCGTTGTAGCCGAAACGTCGTGAGAATTGTTTTATTATGTTTTATTTTTATTATTTTATTACTTCCCTTCTACGTGACTTTACCGAA